TGCAGGGAATGGGGTGGTGAGCCAACGGGGCCTTCGACTTGCCCTTTACGCCGACGGGCGGATTGTGTCCACGACGGTGGAGAGCTGATTGGAGGTGGCAAAGGCGCTGAAGCTGGATGGGGCGTTGGTCTTCCTCGTGGTGGAGCGTGTTGTAGATATCGACTTGCTTGGGGCCGTCGAAGAGGTTGAGGGTGGAGCTATTCAAGCAGTGAAGGGCAAAATCATGGTAGACGTCACTTTCAGAGGTGATAAGCAGATACACCCCTCCATCGACCGCCGAGATTGCATCGTAGACGACACCGTTGGCGGTGCGATGCGCGATGTTGGTGGTGGCCGAGTCGAGGTCGAGTGGAAGTCCGTGGTTCACGATTTGATGGCTAAAAAGCGATGGAAGTTGAAGCGGGGTATGGCCGAGGTAGGGGCAATGTCTTCCGACTGCTTGTATGCAAGCATGCCGTCAGCCATGAACGCAAAGGACAACCCAAGAAGGTCGCAAGCTTGTTCGAGTGCTGCCACCAGGCACGATCGTTCGGTGCCATACCATGTAGTTGTCAGCGCCCTCGCCGGAACGTTCCGCGGAAGGTAGTGCCAGGTACTTGTCCAATAGGATGAAATCGAGCAAGGTCATCAAATAAATGAAGAAGAAGCGACGCTGTATCTGAAGCCGCAACACAAGTAGGCGCGTCGTGCTTTCGCTGCAAAGCACATGGCGACTCTCGGTTTTTAGCGGCAAGTTGTCTACTTGGACGAAAAAAGTTCAACCTGGACGGCCGGATAGATACCGTACTTACTGGCGTGGCATCCGTGGTGACGAAAATGTGTTCTTGAAGCGGGTCAGTGGAGGAGGTAGCTTTATGGTCCTGGGTGCTGTGAGCATGTGTGGGAAGTATGATACTAGTATATATTTTAGCCCTCTTGCTACCGACGCCGCCATGCAGCGCCATCAGGCGGATCACCTGCAGCGTTGGGCCATGGTCATGACGGGCTATACGTACACCATTCAGCACATCCCTGGCGACACCAATGTGTGGGCCGTTGGCAGGTCGTTCCAGCTGCTGTTTCGTCTAGCGCTATTCGCGCCCTAGCACTTGCACCTGTCTCTCCGCTGCAATCGCGTGAGTTTGTGTGGCCGACCTTGGCCGCAATCGCCGCGATCCAGCAAGTTGTTTACCACCGCCTGAGGACTGTGCGTGGAGTGATGCGAAACGGTGCTCATGTCTCAGGTCATCGCGTGGCGGATTCTACGTTTGCGTCACTGTCGACTTGGTGTTCGTGGCCTTCTATGTTGACCGACGTGACGACGTTTGTCCGTGTTTGCATATCATTTGCGCCTCGGGTCGCATGATTCCTCGCCCCCTTGGCAAAGCTCTTCACGCCACGAAGCCCAACGAGCTCATCCATGCCGATTTTCTTACCCTGCCTCGCGACCGTGTCACTCAATGGACGTACGTCCTCACTCTCAAAGATGATGCCTCGGGGTTCTGTATGCTCATCGGGTCTGCCGCTGCAACGGCCGAAGCTTTTGCCACTGGATTGGTTCGCAGGTTTAGCCTTTTTGGCGTGGTGCCTATGTGGGTCACCCACCGCGGATCTCATTTCCGCAACGAAGTCATTGAGCACGTTGCTCGCCAATTGGGCTCACAACATCACTTTACTACGGACTAGTCGCCTTGGTCACATGGCTCTGTCGAGGTCCTCAACCGCCAGGCCCTCCGTTGTATGCGCGAACTGCTTTCTAAAATTGGTTTACAGCCTAACGAGTGGTCCCGTGTCTTGCCCGCGATCCATTCAGCTTTATATAATCAGCCGTCCCCACGTCTTAGTGGTGTGGCTCTAGTCACAGCGTTCACGGCACTGCCTGCTGGCTCCCCTTTGAGTTTTGATTTTGACATGCCTCGTGGTCCACCGCTCAACATGTCCTTGGACGAGTTATCTCAATGCACCCGTGGTCATATCGCTGAGTTAGCTGCCTCCCTCGACTCCATGCATCGCGCTATACCTCAGTCGAGTGATACAGCACGTCGCGTCGCCAGATCCAGCCGGTCGCGCGCTGCTAAAGTAGCGAATTTCGCCCTGGGTGACTACTTCTTGGTCGCCATTATCGCGCCTCACCCGCCCAAGCTCTCTGCGCAATGGCGCGGGCCAAAACGTATTGTCGTGGTGCTGTCTGATTGGATTTTTTTCGTGGAAGATCTCGTTGAGCCTCATGGTCGCTCCATGCACCACGCGAGCCGCCTTCGTTTCTACTGCGACGCTGACCTCGATGTCACTGATCTCCTCAACTTCGTCCGACACAATGATGGCGGTCACATGGTCCGTTCATTTGGTGGTGTCCGCAAAGGCCGCCTATCGCTCGAGGTTTTGGTGTATTGGTTGGGATTGAACGACGCCGAGGCCTTCTGGGAGCCCTTGCAAAACTTGATAGAGGATGTGCCGGTTCTATTGCAACCTTGCGGTGACCCCCCTGGATTCTCCTCGCTTACGTCGCAAACCACCGCGGAAGTCCGCTCCACGGGGAGGAGGGCGATGTTCTGGTCCTGAGGCCTAGTACCACAGCAGAAGGCGTCAGAAGATGGAGTTGCAGCATCTTCTGATCGCTTACCGTGTTTCACGCGATTCGCCACTGCATTCATTAAATTTTGCTGAATTGATCTCATGATCACCCATTCTGTGTTTTGGCTTTATCTGAGTTTGCATGGTGTCTTTGTGCGCTCATTCCAACGTTCAACTTCATTCTGGCTAGCTTAAAACTCTCAGCGATCAAATCCAGTTTTCCATTTCCTTTCGTGTGCACAAGTCCCCCACAAGGGAGGAACCAGAATAACTGGCTCGTCATGCTATCGATCGCTGAATCGATGAACCATCGCCGCGATGAGCCGAGGTACGTCGAACCAACCAACATTTGAAAG